CAAAAGTAAGAGAAATTTAGGATAAAAATACGAACATGTTCTTGCATGAGGCCCAATATTCTTGAACATGAAATCCGAGGCATTGATTGGTTCATGTCGGGGTTTTTTCTAATGACATCATCCAGGATCAGCTTTGAGGCACAGCCAGGTGTCGCAAATCAGCTCTAAGACTGATACTTCAGAATTACTCCTACACTTCACTTAAAGTAAGACTGAGACACTTGATAACTGACTTTTACTCTCAGCTTTTAACTAAGAATTTTTTACACTTAAGTCCACTCTTAGCAGCATTCTTAAGAGGAATTCTAAGAAGTTTTATAAATACGGGCCCAGGCCTTTAATCCAGGAGGACCAGGGCTCTGCTGGGTTTCTTCATGCAGATCATTCAGTAAAAGATCCTCTGCTGACGTTTCTAAGTGTCATTTTACTTCAGTGAAAGTAAAACTGAGCTGCTGCTGCTTCCTGCACAACTTCCTGTTTGATTTTCCAGGACTGTTTCTGAGTTCTCTTTGAACTCGTCCCACACCTGAGGCCTTCCTCTCGTCCCTCACCTGCTCTTTGTTGCTCAGGCCTGGGGTCTTGTCCTCTGATTGGATCAGGTGACAGCCTGGTTCTGCTGACGCCCATATTCAGAGCAGCGTCTGCCCGCAGGTCTTCGTTCATCATAAACAGAGTTAAAACGTTTGTTTCCACACTGTTCTGTCAGGAAAATATCACACTCACATCAGCTTCATGTCTGCTGTTCTCCACAGCTAACATTTCTCTTCATGGAGCTCAAATATGTTCAGTTTCTGAAACAAACAGCTGAAAACACAACCTTCAACACAAACCTGTCAGCTAATAAAAATAACCATTTGACTTTATCTAAAGTTTGTTAATGTTCAGGTAAAATATTCACCTGTGTTTCTGACTGTAAACTTAAATATTTGTATTTTAACCAGAGAAACTTCTTTAGTTGTGACGCCCCCTGCAGACAGGAAGCTGTTACCTAAAAATGCAGAAATCATTATATTTTGAATGTTTCCTTATATTAATATGTTTTTTTTTCTTTGAATTTTCTTGTTGAGGTTTTAGTGCTGCTCCGTCCCTCTGCTCCCTTCACTCAGTACCTGATTTCAATCATTAATCTAAATAAAACCTGTTTTTGAAACTGCTCGGTGAAATAAATTTATATTAAAGTTAAAAATGAAACTTGATGGATTTCAGAGTCTCATTTGAAGAGGAAGTGATTGAAGAGGAAGAACCCCAGAGTCCCATCAGCTCAGGATGAGTCTTCAGGCCGATGTCATCATGAAGCTGGGTGTTGTTGGGACCTGCTGCACATCTGTCTTCATTCCAGACGTCTGCCAGAGATAAGAGCAGCTGCAAACTAACATCTGTAACTTAGATGATGTGAAGTTTGAKCTGCAGCTGAGAAACTTTCTGTCTTTGTGTCAGTGAAGGATCATGTCAAACTGAAAGGATCTGTTTTCAGAGGAAAAAGTTTCATTTCTCTCTGCTGACATCTTCTGGTCGAAGGGTTTACTGTCAGAAAAAAAACATTTAAAATCACTCAACTACTTTCAGTAATAAAAATATGTGTTTACATTACATTTGTAACACTCTCCAACTTTATCACATCATCATGGTTACAGTGGCCTATGTCATAGCAAGCATTGCATTCATCAATCTCATCTGTAACCGTATTTAGATAAAACAGTCTGTCATAAATATGAATATCCAAAGCAGTACCATTTTTATGGATGAGCCGGTTCTGTCCTTCTTTGAAGATGACTGTCGCTCCCTGGGCAGTGGCAGCTTTAACTGAAAAGATGTCCTGTGGAAATGATGGTACATAAAGTGCGTCCATCAGCACCATCTCCACAACTCAGCCTTTGCTGTCTCTCAGGTGAACTCTGGCAGTGCCCTTCTTCAGTGCAATGCTGCTGGCCCTCACAGCATCAGCCAACTCCAAAATATGGCTCTGAGGCTTAAAACTATAGTCAAACTCCTTGAGTTTTGCAGCATCTGTCACAATGTGCTTAGTTACCATGAGGCCCTTCACCTTTACTCCACAGACAGGGGTATGGTCCACCAGTATGGCGTCACCTTGTCTCGTCTTCTCCGTCAGCAGTTTGCATCCTTGTGTGTGGAGCTCTCYCAGGAACTACACCACTGTCTTGACTCTCTGCGCTCACCCAGAGCTGAAGTACATTCCAGGGCTTTATGCCCTCTCTGGCCGCAGTTGTAACAGGTGATTTTTGTGCTCCACTTGTCTCTTCCTTTTACTTTCATCACACTGTCTTCAGCTGAGCTAGCAGCACCAAACTTCTCTGTGCTCTCATAGCTCCTCAGCTTTGCTTTAAACTCTGCAAAATTAATTTTCTCATCACTCWGTGTAACGTGAACAGAGAATGGTTTAAAGTCCTCAGGCAGGCCTTTTAAAATCATCGCAGTTAACAAGCAGTCAGTGTTTCACCAGCATTATGTAGTGCTGTGATAGCAGTCTCTGCACAGATAATACAGTGTCGTCTGTGACATTCTCACTGAGACCTTTTAGAAGAGATGTCAACTCTGTGCACAAACTAATCACTCGTGGCTTCCCCTTACCAGCATAGTGTTCTCTGAGAATCTGTAGAGCCTTTCTGCCATCGTCTGCAGCGTCTTTCATAACAAGGGAGAGGCTTTTATCATCCAGGTTGAATCTTCTACAGTTTATGCAATAAAATGTAATTTTAGATCATTTCAAAGAACCAAATGTTTATAAAACTCTAGGAATAAATTTTGAGACAGCATTTCATAAATATAATTTGATTTTTTTTATTGTAAATTGTGAAAATTTTCTTCTAAAGTTGTGAAAAGCTGTTTTTCCTCTTCCGTCCAGCAGGAGGCGCCAGATCTCCGCCCGCCTTCTTCTCTGCTCTGACCTCCTCCTCTTCATCATCCTCCTCCTCATCCTCGTTTGTTTCTCTTGTTTTGTTTTTTAAACCATGTAACCGACTCGGTTCGGCAGAGAGGACGTTCGGGCTGCTCGGTGTCACCGAACCGAGCAGCACCACGGAGGAAGGGGCCCAAAACTTTTTCATCCCGGACACGAAACGAAGAAAAAAAACAACAACAACAAGTTTTCAGGTGAGTTTTTCTTTTTTCCGCTGCTGAGTTCAGAAACAACCTGAGCTGCTTGTGTTTATCTCAGAAGTCAAATATAAAAACTTTAAACTGAAGGGCCAGTCAGAGTGATCCTGTTGTTTATAGAAGCTAAGGTTTAGCTGCTAAACTCACAGCTAAAAGAAGAAGAAGAATAACTAAACTGTAAACTAAGTTTCCATCAGTTTGTTTTTTTATAAACTGGACCGCAGCAGGTTTTATTCAGTTTTTATTCCTAGTTTTACTCCAGTTAAAGTCCAAAGATCTGCTGTTTTTTTTCCTCACATACCTGAAGCATTTTGTTGGCAGATGTCTGCAGCTGTTTTTTACAGACTTTTGACCAGACCTTGAAAGCACCAGATTTACTTTGATGTTTGACCGACATCTTTTATTTTTAATAAAGTGTTGAGATGAAGCTTTTCCTCTTACCATATTATTTGTTAGTTATTTAATGTTTTAAATGTCACAAAATAAACGTTACTGTAAATATTGTTTTCTAGTCTAAAGTTGTGTTTGTTTTTTACTTCARGAAACTCAATCAGGATCATTTTGCTCTGAGTTTTGCAACAAAGTTTTATTATTTTCAACATTTTTTCTAGTGAAAAAAAAAGGGAAAAATCTGCTTCATCTTCTGGCTGCTTTTAGCTTCTTATGTTGCTTTTAGCTGTTGTTTTACTCATTTTAGCTGTTAAGTATGATTTTGTTCATTTTACTTTGTAAGACTAGCTAAATAAAACCAGCAGCTAATATTTAGCTGTTTTTAGCTTCTAGTTATGGATTTACTGATTTTAGCTAGTGCTTTCAGCTACTGTTCTACTAATTTCACTTTTTTGTGGGCATTTGGTTTAGATTTTTAGCTGCTGTTCAGCTAGGTATACAGTTTWGCCAATTTTAGCTTGTTAGCTGCTGTTTTTTGTAATTTTAGCTATTATTTTGCTAGTTTTAGCATATAGTTATTTCTTGCTAATTTAGCATTTTATCCACATTTMTTAATTTTCGAGTCCAAAACAGGTCTTTGATAATTTGACTCGAGGTGACCCCTGCAAGCTTTTTTCGTTTTTTTTTTTCTAATCTAAATTTTTAGCTGTTTTTCTAACTTAAAATTTTTGTGACATTGGTTTAGATATTTAGCTGCTGTTCAGCTGAGTTTAACTTTAAGCTCCTATTTTGGAAGTTACGCTTTTAGCAGCTTTTTATTAATTGTTCAGTTTTAGCTACTGTTTTTTTACATTTTAGCCTTTTTCTACTGTTTTGCTGAATTTAGTCTTAAAGAGTCTTGTTGCTAAATTAGTTTTATAGCTACTGTTTTGCTAATTTTAGCTTTTTTCAATKATTTTATTTGCTCATGTTAGTTTTTTTTTTCCATTTTGCTGATTTAAACTTTTTGACTGTGGTTTAGTTTTTTTAGCTGCTCTTCAGCTGAGTTCACCTTTTAGCTACTATCATGTGTTTCAGCTTGTAGCTATGGTTTAGCTGTGATCTGTTGGTCTTTGAGTCTGTGTGGAGTCTTTTAAACAGATTATAGTTTCTCAGCAGATGTTTGGCACAGAAGACTTCAGCAGCTGGAAAAATAATCAGCTGAAGGTTAAAGAAATTAAAAACAAAAAACAACCTGASGCCTGTCGGCTACAMGTTCTGGTTCTGGTTCTGGTTCTGMTTCTATATTCAGCTGCTAGTGAAACTGTTTCTTTCTGCAGTTTCAGCGCAGATCTGAAAAATGTGACATCATCTGGTCCGAACAGGGAAGCAGCAGCTCGAGTTTCCAGAGAAGTGTGTGTGTGTGTGTGTGTGTGTGTGTGTGTGTGTGTGTGTGTGTGTGTGTGTGTGTG